GATAGATAGATAGATAGATAGATAGATAGATAGATAGATAGATAGATAGATAGATAGATGGATAAATAGATATATAAATAGATAGATAGATAGATAATAGTTAGACAGACAGATAGATAGACAGTTAGATAGATAGTTTGATATATAGATATATGGATAGACAGATAGATGGACAGATATATAGATATATAGATAGATAGATATATAGATAGATAGATAGATAGATAGATAGATAGATCGATAGATAGATAGATATATAGATAGATAGATAGATGGATAGACAGATAGATGGATAGATAGATAGATAGATAGATTGATAGATAGATAGATAATAGTTAGACAGACAGATAGATAGACAGATAGATAGTTTGATATATAGATATATGGATAGACAGATAGATGGACATATATATAGATAGATAGATATATAGATAGATAGATAGATAGATAGATAGATAGATAGATAGACAGATAGATAGATAGATAAATAAATAGATAGATAGATATATAGATACATAGATAGATAGATATATAGATAGATAGATAGATAGATAGATAGATTGATAGATAGATAGATAGATAGATAGATAGATAGATAGATAGATTGATAGATAGATAGATAGATAGATAGATAGATAGATAGATAGATAGATAGATAGATAGATAGATAGATAGATAGATAGATAGATAGATAGGATAAGCTACGGATGAATGCGGATGACTGCAATAACAGTGGATTAATAAGGATGACCATGGATGACCATGGATAACTATGGATGGTTGTGGATCACCAAGGATGACAACATATGACAGCGGATGACAGCGGATGTCATTTTAATGACAAAGGATGTCTTTTGGTGACAGTGGATGACTATAGGTCACTATGGATGTCTATTGATGACAGCGGATGACTATAGGTCACTATGGATGACTACTGATTGCTATGGATTACTATGGATGACAATGGATAAAATGGATGAAAATGATTGATAATGTATGACAATGAAAAACAATGGATGACAGTGGATAACAGTTGATGGCACTGAATGACAGAGAATGACAGCAAATGACTATGGATGACAATGGATGGCAATGGATGACAGTTAATTAAAATTTATATTAATGGATGATAATGAACGACTATGTATGACTACGGATACTATTAATAAATATGAATGACTGTGGATAACTACGGATGACAGCGAATGACAGCGGATGACAGCTTATGGCATTAAATGAAAGTGGTTGACTATGGATGACATATGATGACTATAGATGACAATGAACGTCTTAGGATGACAATGGATAACTATTGATGACTATGGATGATAATGGATGACTATGTATGATAATGGATGACTATGTATGACTACGGATGACTATGGATGAATATAGATGACCATGGATAACTCTGAATGACTGTGGATCACTCTGAATAACAGTGGATGACAGCGGATGACAGCGGATGACAGCGGATGACAGTTGATGACTATGGATTACTATGGATGATTATGGATGACTATTGATGACTATTAATAACTGAATGACTTTGGATGACTAGGGATGACTATGAATTACTATGGATGACTGTGAATGATAATTGAATATTGTGGATAACTGTAAATTTCATTCGATGACAGCGGATGACTATGGATGAAAATAGATGTATTTGGATTGTTATGGATGACTATGAAGACAATGAATCGCTATGGATGACAATGAATAACAATGGATGACAATAGATGACAGTGGATTTCAGTTGATTGCAATGGATAACAGGGAATGAAAATGGTTGACTTTGGTTGAAATGGATGAGAATGGATAACATTGAATGACTTTAGAAGACTCTGTATGACTATGGATGACTATGGATATTAATAGAAACATAAGATGGAGTTTTTATGACAATATAATTTTATGGATGACTCTGCATGATTATGGATGACATTAAATGATAATGGATAACAGTGGACGAAAGTGGATGACGTTGGACGATAGCGGATGACAAATAATGATAATGGATTTAAAATGAAAAAAAAATTATGACATTTGATGAATACGGATACTACAGATGACTATAGATGACAATTGATGACTATGGATGACTATGGATGAAAAAAGATTAATATGGATGAATTTGAATAACCATGTATTTCTATGCATGGCTCTCGAGGATAATGGATAACAGTTGATGAGTGTGGAACATAGTGGATGGCAGTGGATGACAATGGATGACTGCGGATGACAGTTGATGACTATGTATGACTATAATAACTATGAATGACATTTGGATCACTATTAAAGACAGCTGATGACAGCGGATAACAGTGTGTCACATTAGATGCCTATGGATGAGAATGGATGAATATGGATGTGTATGGATGACTATGGATGACCATGGATAACTTTGGATGACTTTGTATAACTATGGATAACTATGGAAAACAATTGATGACAATTACGACAATTGATGACAGTGGATTATATTAAAAGACTGTGATGATTGTGGATGACAGTCGATGACAGCGGATGACTATGGATGACAATGGATTACAAAGGATGACAATGGGTGACATTTGTTGAATACGGATGACTATGGATGACAATGAATAAGACTGGATGAAAGTTGAAGACAGCAGATAAGCTGTAGATGAATTTGAATGACTGCGGATGACAGTGGATAACTTTGGATGACTCTGGATGACTATGAATGACTGTGGATCACTATGTACGAAAGCATATGACAGCAGATAAAAACAATAATTACTTTCAATTATTCAAAGTGGATGACTATGGATTACTATGGATGACTATGGATGAATATCGATGATTAGGGATTACAGTGGATTAGAGTGGATGATAGTGGATGCAAGTGGATGATAGCGGATGACTGCGAATTACTTTGGGTGGCAATGGATCACTATGGATAACTAAGTATGACTATGGTTGGAAATTGATGACAATTAATGACAGTGGATGAAAATGGATGACAGTTGATGCCTGTGAATGACAATCAATGACAGCGGATGACTATGGATGACAATGGATGAGAGTAAATAACAGTGGATGACAGCGGAAAATGCGGATGACTTCAGAGGATTTCGAATGACAGAAAATGATAAAGGATGACTGTGAGTCATCATGACATCAGATGACAGCTTATGTCATTGAATGCCAGTGCTTTACAATGGATGACAGTGGTTGACAATGGATAACTATTGACGACTGTAAATTACTATGGATATCTAGGGATGACTAAGGATTAGAATGGATGGCAATTGATGACAGTGAATGACATCGGATGAAGCTGATGACAGCGGATTACAGCAGATGACAATGGATGACAATGGATGACTATGAACGACTATGGATGACTATGGATGATCGTGGATGACTATGTATGACTATGGATGATTATGGATGAATGTGGATGACAATGAATGAATATGGATGATTATAGATGATAATGGATGATTATGGATGGTTATGGATGACTATGGATGGCTAAGGATTGCTATGGATGGCTATGGATGGCAATGTATGACTGTGGCTTTCAAGGATAACATTGGACAAACAATGACTGGCATTAATTGACAATGGATGACAATGGATGACAATGGATGACAATGGATAACAGTGGGTGGCCATGGATGACAATGGATGGCAATGGATGACAATGGATGACGATAGGTCACAGTTTATGTGAATGGATGTCAATTGATGATAGCAAATGACTGTCAATTGTATTGGATTACAGGTGATGACAATGGATGGCTATGGATGGTTATGGATGACTATGGATGACAATGAAAAATAATGGAGGACAATTATTGACAACTGATGAAAATGGATGACAATGAATGACAATAGATGACATTTTATGAAAATGTATGAGAATAGATAGCAGTGATAGAAGACTATTTAAGACTACGGATGATTATGGATGACAATGGATACATAATAATAAGTACGGATGACCATACATTATTATGGATGACACTGGATGATTCTGGATGTCATTGGGTGATTGTGGATAACTGTGGGTTACTGTTGATGCCATTGGATGAATACGGATTACAACGAAGGACTATGGATGAATATAAATGACTATGTATGACTACGGATGACTATGGATGACATTGGTTGACTGTGGATAACTATGGAAAACTATGGATATCTATGGATTACATAGATGTATTTGGATCGCTATTGATGACAATAGAACACAATGACGAGCTATGGTTTATCATGAACAACAATGCATGACAATAGATGACAGTGGATGGCAGTTGATGGAAATGGATAATAGCAAATTACAATGGATGACATTGGAGGAGAATGGATAACAATTAAACACTATTGAATACTCTGTGTGACTACGGATGACTTAGCATGTCTATGGATAGGTAAAATGAGTATCGGTGACATATATTATTATTGATGACTCTGAATATTATGGATGTCCGTGGATGAAAATGTATACAAGTGGATGACAGTGGATGAATGTGAATGATAGAGGATGACCAAAATTATAATGGATTAAAAATGATGACTATGGATGTCAATTGATTAATATGGATGAATTTGGATGAACATGTTTATGGATGGCTTTGAGAATTATGGATGACAATGGATGAACAGAGTGGATGAAAGCGGATTATAAAGGATAGCAGCGGATGACTGTGGATGACTAAGGATTACAATGGATGACTTGGGATAACCATGGATGAAAATTAATGAACATTTATGACAGTGGATGACAGTGGATGGCAGTTGAAGACTGTGATGATTGTGGATCACAGTCGATGACAGCGGATGACTTTGGATGACAATGGATCAGAATGGATGAGAGTGAATGACAGTTGAATACAGAGTATAAGCTGCGGATGACTGCAGTTGAAAGTGGATTACGATGGATTACTAGGGATACCTATGGATGGTTGTTGATCACAATTTATAACAACGGACGACTATGGATGACGATAAATTACAAAGAATGACTATGAAAGACAATGGATGACAATGGATGAAAATTGATGACAGTGAATGAATGTAGATGACAGTATTTGACAGCGGATAGCTATGGATGACAATGGATGACTGTGGATGACAGTGGATGCCAGTTGAAGAAAGCGGATTAATGCGGATGACTGCGGTAAACATTTAATGACTATGTATGACCATGAATGACTATTGATAACTATTGATGGTTGTTGTTCCCCATGGATGACAGCAGATGACAGAGGATGACTATGGATGGCTATAGATCACTATTTATGGCTATGGATTACTATGGATGAAAATTGATACAATTGGATGACAATGAATGAATGGATGACAGTGGATGAAAGTTGAGGGCAAAATATGACAGAAAATATCAGCAAATTATTATGGATGACAATGGATTGCATTGAATAACATTCTATGAGAATGGATAACAATGGATGATGCTGAATGACTTTGTATGACTACGGATGACTATGGATACCTATAAATGTCTGTGGATCAATAAGGATGACAGCGAATGAAAGGAAATGACAGCTTATGTCATTGAATGACAGTGGATGACTATGGATGACAGTGGATGACTGTAGAGAATTATGGAAGTCTATGGTTGACTATGGATAACTTTTAATGGCTATTGCTATAAATGTATGACAATTGATGACAGTAGATGCCGATTGATGACTTTGGATGACTGTGGATGACTATGGGTGACTATGGGTGACTATGGATGATAATGGATTCCTATGGATGATTTAGGATCACTATAGATGACTATGGTTGTCTATGGATGTATATTTATAACAATGGACAACAATGACTGGCCATAGTTGACAATGGATAAAATTGGATGATAATGGATGTCAGTGCATGATAGTTGATGACAATTGATGTGAATGGATGACAGCAAATGACTATGGATTACAATGGATGAGAACGGATAACAAAAAATAACGGTGGATGACAGTGGATGACAGCTTTGAGAATGGATGACAATGGATTACAAAGGATGGGAATGGATGACTGGATAAATACGGATGACTATGGAATACAAAAGATGACACTGGATGACAGTTGAAGACAGCGAATAAGCTGAGGGTTAATTTACATGACTATCTATAACAATAGATGACACTGAGTCACCATGGATGACAGCAGATGATAGCGGATGACAGCTTATGTCATTGGATGCAAGTGGTTGACTATGTTTGACAGTGGATGTCTATTGATGACTATTGACGACTATAAATCACCATGGATAACTAGGGATGACTATGGATGACCATGGATGGCAATTGATGACAATGGATGCAAGTTGATGACAGTGGATGACAGCAGGTGACAGCTGACGACAATGGAAAACTATGGATGTATATGGATAACTTGGTTGTCTATGGATGTATATGGATGAATATGAATGACTGTGGATGACTCTGGATCATTATGGATGATTTTTGATGACTATGTATGACTATGGATGATTATAGATGACTATGATGAATATTGATGACTCTGGATGACTCTAGATGACTATGGATGATTATAGAATACAATTGATGATTATGGATGATGATGGATGTTTATGGAACTATGTATGACTATGGCTGTCTATGGAAAACATTGGACGACAATGACTGGCATTAGTTGACAATGGACGGCAATGGATGACAGCAAATGACCGTGGATAACATTGGAAGGCAGTGGATCACATTGGTTAACCTTAGATAACAGTGGATAACAGTGGATGGTGATGGGAGACCATGGATGACAATGGATAACAATCGATGATAATGATTTGCAATGGATGAATATGGATGACTATGGATGACTATGGATGACTATAGATGTTATTGGATGACAATGGATAATAGTGGTAACGGTGAATGACAGTTGATGATTGTGGATGACTGAAATGACCATCGATGACAGAGTATGAATATGGATGACAGCGGAAGAGAGTTGAACAGAGTGGATATCAGTGGATAAATCCGGATGACTATTGATGACTATGGATGACTATTGATAACTATGAATGACTGTGCATCAATATGGATGACACCGGATAACAACGGATGACAGTGAATGACTATGGATGACTATGGTTCAAATTTGATGACAATTGATGACTGTGGATGATTATGGACGATCATAGATGACAATGGATAACAAAAGATTATATGAATTGCTATGGATGGGTATGGAAGACAATGACTAGCTATGGATGACATTGGATAAAAATGGATACATCAAATCACTACGGATGAAAATGGTTGAAGATGGATTATAATGAATAACAATTGATGATAATGGATGACTATGTATGATAATGTATGACTATGTATGACTACGGTTGATTTTGGGTCACTATGGATGACAGCGGATGAGAGCGAATGATAGTGGATGACTATTGATTACTATTGATGATTACGAATGACCAAGGATGCCTATGGATGACTATGGATGACAGTGGATTTAGTGGATGACTGTAGATGACAGTCTATTACAGCGGATGACTATGGATGACAATAGATGACTAAGGATGACAATGGTTGAATATGGATGTCTATGGATGAATTTTGATGACAATTGATGGCTGCGGTTGATTATGGAAAACTATAGATGACTATGGATGACATTAGATTATCTGGATTGCTATGGATGGTTATGGGAGACAATTGACTAGCTATGAATGATATTGGATAACAATGGATGACAATAGATGACCGTGTATGTTAGTTGATGACAATGGATGACAGCAAATGACAATGGATGACATTGGATGACAGTTTTTGAGAATGGATAAAAATAAATAACTATAGATGACTATGTATGACTACGGATGACTATCGATGGCAATGGATACATATTGATGAGTATGGATGACCAAATATTATTATTGATGACTTATGAATGATATTGGATGAGAGTGGATGACAATGGATCACAGCGAATGCCTGCTGATGACTTGGTCGGCTATGGATAGCTATGGATGACAGTGGATCACTATGGATAACTATGTATGACTATGGTTGAAAATGGATGAAAATTTATGATAGTTGAGCGGATTGGGTGATAGTGGATGACAGCGGATGACAGCTGATGACAATGGATGACTATGGATTTCTATGGATGATCATAAATGACTATGGATGACTATTTATGACTATGTATAACTATATATATGACTATGGATGATTATGGATGACTATGGATGACTATGGCTGACTATGGGTGAATTTGGATGGCTATGGATGACTATGGAAGACAGTAAATGGTTTGGATGACATTGGACAACAATGGATGACAGTGTATGAAAGTGGATAACAGTGAATGACAGTTGATTACTGTGGATGATAGCGGATGACCATAAAATATAATGGATAAACATGATGAAAATTGAAGAAATTGAATGAATACGGATGATTATGGATGACTATGAAGGACAATTGATGACTATGGGTTATTATTAATGACAATGGATTATTATGGAAGAATTTGGATGACCATTTATTACTATTGATTGCTTTGGAGGATTATGGATGACAGCGGATTAGAGTGAAACAGAGTGATGACAATGGATGACGGCGGATGACAGTTGATGACTATCGAATACAATGAATGACTAAGGATGATTTTGGATAACCATTGAAGACAATTGATGACATTGGATGACAGTTGAAGACTGCGATGATTGTGGATGACTGTCGATGACAGCGGATGACTATTGAAGGCAATTAATCAGAGTGGATGAGTGTGAATGACAGTGGAAGGCGGCGGATGAGCTACTGATGAATTTGTATGACTGCGGATGACAGTGGATGGTTATGGATGACTATAAATAACTATGGATATGTGTGGATTGTTGTGGATTCCCAAGGATGACAGCTGATGACAGCGGATTACAGTGGATGACAGCAGATAACAGTGTATGTCTTTTTAATGCTTATGGATGACTATGGATGACTATGGATAACAATGAATGACTGTGGATCATTATTGATTACAGCAGATAACTGCAGATGACAACGGATTACAGCGGATCAGAGCAAATTACAGTGTTTATTATATATGACTATGGATGACAGTGGATGACTATGGATGAATATGGATGAATATTGATGATTATGGATGAATATTGATGATTATGGATGCCTATCGATAACAATGGATGACTATGGATGACAGTGAATGATAGTGGATGATTGTGGATGTCTTAAATGACAGTCGATGACAGCGGCTAATTATGGATGACAGTGGATAAGAGTTGAACAGAAGAGATAACAGTGTGTGACTGCCGATGACAGTTAATGACTGTCAATGACATCTGATGACAGCGGATGACTTAGTATGCCAATAGATTTCTATGGATATCTATGGGTGACTTTGGATGATTATAGATTACTATGGATGACTCTACATAACTATTTATAACTATGGATAATTATAGAAAACTATGGATGGGTTTGGATGACTTTGTATGATTATGGATTACTTTGAATTACAATGACTGGCAATGGATGATATTGGATGACAGTGGATGACAGTTGATGACCATGTATGATAGAAAATAATTATGGATGACAGTGGATTACATTGAAAGACCATTGATGAGAACCGATTGCAAAGGATAACAATGGATGATTGTGGAAGACAGTGGATGACATTTGATGACTGTGGATAACAGCGGATGACTATGGATGACAATGGGTGACAATAGATTACAAACGATGACTAAGGATGACTATGGATGACAATGGATGACAATTGATGACCGTTGATGATTGTGGATGAAAGAAGATGACAGTGAATGTCAGCGTATGTGATTTTAATCAAAGTTGATGAATATGGATGTCTGTGGATGACTATGGAGGACTATGGATGACAATAGATGTCAATGAATGAAAATATATAACAGTGTATGACAATAGATGACAGTCGATGACAGTTGATGGCAGTGAATGACACAGAGTGAAAGCAAATGAGTATGGATGACAATGGATGGCATTGAATGAAAGTGGATGATAATGAATAACAATGGATGATAATGAATGACTATGTATGATTACGGATGACTGTGGATAACCATAAATGACGGTGGATCACTATGGATGACAGCGAATGACAGCGTGTGACAGATTATGTAATTGAATGACAGAGGATGAATAGGGATGACAGTGGATGATCATAGAGGACTATGGAATATATGGATGACAATGGATAACTATTAATGAGTATTGATGGCAATGGATGCTATGGATGTCTATGGATGACTATTGATGAATGTGGAAGACAATGGAAGACAATGGATATATATGGATGACTCTGCATGACAATGAATGACAATAGATTGCAATTGATAACAGGGGATAACAGTCGATGACAGATGATGACTTTTGTTGACTGTGGATGACTGTCTTTGACATCTGATGATAGCGGATTACATCGGATGGCATTAGTTGTCTGTAGATTTCTACAGATGTCTTTGGATGACTTTGGATGACTATGGATGGCTATAGAATAGTATGTATGACTATGGATGACAATGGATAACTATGGATAAACTATGGATGATTAAAAAATGTGGATGTTTTGGATGACTATATTTGACTATGGATAACTTTGAATGACTGTGACTGGCAATGGATGATAATGGATGATAATGGATGACTGCTAATGATAGCTGATGACTATGCATGACTATGAATGACTATGAATGACGAAGGATTTATATCGATGAATTTGGATGACCATGTAATATTATGCATTGCTCTGGAGGATTATGGATGACAGTGGATGAGAGAGTAACATAGTGGATGACAGTGGATGACTGCGGATGAGTATGGCTAACTATTGATAACTATGAATGACTTTGGATTACTATTGATGACAGCGGATGACAGCAAATGACAGTGTCACATTTGATGATTTTGGAAGATTATGGATGACTATAATAATCCACAATATTCCACTGTATTTCACTGTCATCAACTGTCATCCATAGCCATCCATATTAATCCGCTGTCTTTCGCTCCCATCCACTGTCATCCATAGTGATTCAGAGTCATCCATAATTATACATAGTAATCCATAGTCATCCGTAGTCATACATAGTCATCCATTATCATGCATTGTTATCGATTATCATCCATTCTCTTCAAATGGCTTACATTGTTATCTATTGTCATACATGGTCATTTCAAAATCATCAATAGTCATCAATAATTATTCATAGTCATCCACTGTCATCCATTATCATCCATTGTCATCCATTGTCAATTAAAACCAGTCATAGTCATCCAATGTTATCCATTTACAACCATAGTGATCCATAGCAATCTATAGTCATCCATAATCATCCATAATCATCCATAGTCAACCTATTTATCAAAGTCATCCAGAGTCATCCATAATTATCCATAGTCATACATAAACATCCATAGTAATACATATTCATACATAGTCTTTCATATACATCCATAGACAACCATAGTTATCCATATACATCGATATACATCCACTGTCATCAATTGCCATCCATTGTCATCCATTGTCATTCGTAGTTATACATAGTAATGTATAGTCATCCATTGTCATTAACCCACTGTCATCTATAGTAAAAAAACTGGCATCCAATGACATACGCTGCCATCCGTGGTGACTCACAGTCATACATTGTTATCCATAGTCATCCAAATTCATCTGCAGCTTTTCCGCTGTCTTCAACTGTCATCCAGTCTCATCCATTATTATCCATAGTCATCCGCGTTCATCCAATGTCATCTATTGTCATCGATTTTAATCCAATATCATCTATAGTCATCCGCTATTATCCACACTCATCCACTGCCATCTATAATCATAAAGAGTCATTCATAATAATATTTAGTCATCCATACTTATTCTTAAGTATTCATTGTCATCCTAAGTCATTCTTTGCATACATTATCTTCTATAGTCATTCATTGTTATCCATTCTTATCCATTTCATCCAATGTCATACATTGTAATTTGCTGTCATACATTGCCATCAACTGTCATCCACTGTCTTCCATAGTCATCCATAGTCATCAAAATTCATCTATTGTCATCTATAATCATGCACAGTCTTCCATAGTCAGCCATAGACATCAATAGTCATCAATTGTCATCCATAGTAATCCGCTGTCTTCCACTATCATAGATGGCTATCCTTTGTTATCGGTTCTCATCAATTATCATCCAATGTCATCCATTGTCATGCATAATCATTTGGTGTCATCCATTGTCATCAACTGTCATCAACCGTCATCCATTATTATCCATAGTCATCAATTTTCATCCATAGACATCCATATTCATCAATTATCATCCTTATCATCCATTGTTATCCATAGTGTTTCGCTGTCATCGACTGTCACTTATAATAATCCACAATTATCCACAATAATCCAATGTTATCCACTGGCTTCCACTGTCATCCATTGTCACACTTTGTCATCCATAGTCATCCATAGCAATACATAGTCATCTACTGTCATTCGCTCTCATATGCTCTCATCTGCTGTCATCCAAAGTGATCCTCATTCATTCTGAGTAATCCATAGTCTTCAATAGTCATCCATAGTAATTAATAGTCATCCATAGTCAACCTGTGTTCCAAAGTCATCCATGGACATCCATAACATCCTTTGTCATTATCTGTTATCTTCTGTCATCCGCTGTCATCAGCTGTCATCCACTGTCATTTACTGTCATCCACATTCATCCACTGAGTGTTAATTGTCTTCCATTGTCATCCATAGTCATCCATAGTTATCTATAGTGATTTATATTTGTCCATAGTCATCCACAGTCATCCACTGTCATCCATAGGCAACCGCTTTCATCCAATGACATAAGCTGTCATCCGCTGTCATCCGCTTTCATCCCTGGTTACTCACAGTCTTATATTGATATCCATATCATCCATAGTCATCCACTGTCTTCCGCAGTCATTAACATTTTTCCGCTGTCCTCCACTCTCATCCATTATCATTCATAGCCATCCGCTTTCATTGACTGCCATTCACAGTCATCAGAGTCATCAACTGTCATCTAATATCATACACAGTCATCCATAATCCTCCAGAGTCGTTTTAATAAAATATGGTCATCAATACTCATCCATATGTATCCATTGTCATCCATAGTAATCCGTAGTCATACATAATCATCGATAGGCATTCTAGATTTTTTATTGCTATCAATTCTTATCCATTGTCATCCAATATCATCCTTTGTCATTTGCTGTTATCCATTGCCAACAACTGACATCGACTGTAATCTATTGCCATCCATTCTCATCCATTGTTATCCATTGTCACTCATAGCTAGTCTTTGTCTTCAATAGCCTTCCATAGTCCTCCGCAGTCACCCATTGTCATCAAACTTTCATCCATTGTCAACCCTAGACATCAATATTCATCAATTGTCTTCCTTTGTTATCCTTTGTCATCCATAGTTATTCGATATTATCGACTGTCATTTATAGTAATCAACAATAATCCACAATTATCCACTGTCATCCACTGTGATCCACAGTCATCCATAGTCACACATAGTCATTCAATATCATTCGTAAGGTTTGACGTTGAACTCAAGAGGTGGACGCTGAACTCATGAGGTGGACGCTGAACTCGGGAGGTGGACGCTAACTCGCGAAATGGACGCAGAACTCATTAGATGGACGCTGGATTCGTGAGATGGAGGCTGAAATCACGAGGTGGACCCTGAACTCGTGAGGTAGACGCTGAACTTGGTAAGTGGACGCTGAACTTGAAAAGTGGACGCTGAACGCATGAGATGAACGTTAACCTCTTAAGGTGGACGATGAATTCGGGAGTTAGACACTGAACTCGTGAGCTGGACGCTGAACTCGTGACGTGGACACTGAACTTGCGAAGTGCACGCTGAACTCGTGAGGTTGACGCTGTTGTCGTGAGGTAGACTCTGAAATCGTGATTTTGATTGTGAACTCGTGAGATGGACGCTGAACTCGTAAGGTGAACGCTGAACTCATGAGATGGATGTTGAACTCATGAAATTGTCGCTGAACTCGTGAGGTGGACGATGAACTTGTGAGGTGGACGCTGAAATCATGTGGTGGACGCTGAACTTATGAGGTAAACGCTTAACTCGTTAGGTGGACGCTGAACTAGTGAGTTGGACGCTAAACTCGTGAGGTGGACACTG